TGTCGAAGACAATCACATGTAGCTTCATGGCTCTCTAAATGTCTTCTTCCCACATCTGAACCTCAGTGTTGTTCACCTAATTTTCTGCGAAAATGGATATCTTTTCTGTACCTACTTACTATCTTTTGCTTAATGTAATCCTTCTACCTTCACTAGTCAGTATTCAGCACTGCAAAGTTTCATCTGGAGATTACATTAACCATTGCCTCTTCCCCATGACAATTAATCAATCCTCCAGTTCCACCTCTGTGTCAGCCTTAAAAATTACAAGAACTCTGATTTCCTCCACTCTTCTGACAAATGTCAGTGCAGTGTCCCTTACACATTCAACAGAGGGGGCTGTATAAACGGTTTGGAGCCCTTCCCTTCAACATGTGGATATCTGAGAATGCTATAAAAAAAAAAAAGATGGTTTAAAAAAGTGATAGAAGGAGGCTGTTAAAAGCACGTGTGTTCAGAAGAGGTAAAATGAGTCATGCATGAAGTTTTCATATGAATCTCTGGGAGGCTGTAGGGAAGGGGAAGGGAGAATTTGGAAACCAGACATAGAGAGAGAGAAGTGCATGTGGGAAGTAAAAGAGAAAAATGACATAGTGGAATAAATAAAAGGCAAAAAAGGTCTAGCGTCATTTGGAAACAGTGAGCCAGGGTAAGAGTCATAAAGGAGGGGACTAGCAAGATAACTGATTCGGTTATTCTCTTTTTAATATGCAGGGTGAACTTAAGTCAACTATTATTTGCAGACAGGAAACAGAAAAGAAGGCTCAGGGATATATTAAAGGGCCTTCAATATTTAATTTATACCATCCTACTGTGCCTCATCCAGCCCCATATCCTTCTATCCATTCACTGTGTACTCTAGTGGTATTCTAAAATCATGGAGCACATCCATTGTTTTCCACCTCCCTTCCAGTCCAACCTAACCTCTTTGTTCTCTTCCTACTTGGAAATCTTTTTTTTCTACTCTTGGTAATCTCCAGTGAAAAACAATTCCTGTAAAGCATTTCTTGACTCCCACAAGACAATCAGTTGTTCTACTTCCTATGAAAGGCAAACACTGTATGGCTCCATCATGGCAATACATTTTCCATGACTATCTTCCACTTAAATCATAATATCCTTGACATGGTCCCCAGAGCGACTTTTGCACATGAAAGAAGGATGATATGTAACACAAAGTGTAAAAGAAAGAGAAAAAGGAACAAAGGAAAGAAAAGGAAAAAAGAAATGAAAAGGTGAGAAAAGTCCAAGAAAGGGAAGTCCTAGAAGAAAAAGAAAAGAAGAATATGAATATCAAAGAACTGCAGAAAATAGACAGAACCAGCACCAGGTGAAGGAGAAGACCAGGCCTCTGGCTCCATGCCCATTTCTCTACCTCATCACTCCTCCATTGGCAGCTCAAGGTCATTTAACATAAACTCATGGATTTTAAGTGAAATAAAGAATGAACCTTTAGAAAGAGGCAGAAAAAGAACCTAGAGAAAGTAAACAGATTTTTACTTATTCATGTGTAAAACATCTAGGGAAAGTTTGATAATGCCTTAACTCAAAGTATGATTTGTTTAATTAAAATAGCTTCCATAATACCATAAATATACTATAAGAGATTAAAAACTACTATATTATTTACTATCTAAATGAATATAAAAATGACTTCCCACTTTTTTAAATCAGTTTAACAATGAATATACTAACAAGTCCATGAAAAGTCTATTTTTGTGAGTGGTTCTGGAATTAAACTTAAGGCCTTTCACTTGCTAGACAGGTGCTCTACCACTTGGACCATGACTCTAACTTCCCATGAAAATATTACATCTGAATTCTCAGAAATATAAGATTAGTGAAACTGAAAAATACAACAGAGTGATAGAAAACAAAACTGGGGCAACAACCCTAAGCTAATTCTTTAGTGCTAAAGGTCCTAAATTATTTCTTCTTGAATAAGGAAAAGTACTAGGTACAAACAAAATAATATTGTTATGAAAATACAAATTAGATCATTGTCACTGTAGTTGTACACACCATATAGTACTTCACTAGCTAGTTTAAGACAGTCTAATTACCAGAAAGTGATAGCTCATCTAGATCTCTACCTGCAGGCAATGAGGGGGAAATCTCACCACCACTCTGATTGATCACTGTATGGCCCAAACAAATGGCTTTCATTTTAATGAAGCCCTGTAGAAACCCCTAAAAATACCAGAGCAGGAGCATACATAGGGAAAGGAACAGAAGGGCCTCTAACTGAGTTGTAAGATCTAGAGCAAAATAACAAAGAAAAATAAGCTGTGGGGGCACCAGGATGAAGTTATACAACCCCCCAGGTTGCATTTGGTGGAACTGTGCTGCACCCATCAGGCATGCCATAAATACTTGCCATATGATTTACCAATTTTCTTAGGACTAATGCCAGTGTGAAAAATGCTAAAATGAATTTTTACTTTCATTTTCACATTTCACTGTCTGTCATCATCTTATAAATCCAGTGCTGTAAAAGCCATATTATCACTTGGCCATGGGACGGCCTTTTTCATTCCAGCCTCAGGAACACAAAAGCTAATGGGGGGAAGCGGGGGCTGGGAAGGTGGCTCAGTGGTAGAGTGCTTGCCTTGCATGCATGAGACCCTGGGTTTGATTCCTCAGCACCACATAAGCAGAAAAAGCCGGAAGTGGCGCTGTGGCTCAAGTGGTAGAGTACTAGCCTTCAGCTGAAGAGCTGAAGAGCTGAGCACCCAGGCCCAGAGTTCAGGCCCCACAACCGGCAAAAAACAAACAAACAAAAAAAAGGCTAATAGGGGCTGGGAATGCCTATAAGTGAGTGGTTTACATCTGCTCATAGCAGGACTTCCAGGAGGCCTGGAAGTCTGACCTCTATATTCCATATCTAAACCTTGGTCTGACAAAGCAGCTCTACTGAGCTCACAAGCCTTCCACCCAGGCCACCTCATTCCAGAGAGAAAATCTACCCCTGCCTCCTGAGCCTCCTCAGCAGAAGGCATCCTCCTGGTATTCAAAAGCTAATCCTTTCCTGGGAGTTAACAATAAATTAGAGCTGGACACAAAAAGCACTGAACCAACAGGAAATAAAGATTCCCAAATAAACATCTCTAAAGAATAAGTAATGTAAGTGCTACCTTGAGACTAGTGGCTTAATACTTTATCAACACTCATCTCTCAATACTCTAAAGATAACTTCTAATAATTTTGAGCTAAGAAAGCATAAAGCAAAGAGAAGATGCTATGAGAGCAGATCTGTTTCTGGATAGCATTTACAGATTAAAGCTAGGGAACAGAACATTAAATTTAATAAGTGCAAAGTGATGCACCAGGGAAGAAAGAATAGACCAGCTAAGTATGATTTAAGTGGCACTGAATTAGCTGCAAAGATATCTTGATGCACTGACAGAGGAAGAAGCATGTAAAATGACAGTTCAGCCTCCAATGCCAGTAGACAAAGCAAGACTGGTCATGCAGAGGGGTATACTTTATTTAGAAGAAAAAGAAAACAAACTATAACTTTTAAGGGAAAAGTCTTATTCCATTTATGATGTTATTGAACTTGAACCAACCTGAAAGCAAAAATCCACTGAGGGGAAGAGTCACCATAATGCCTGTGCACCCTGATAGATGCATTTTGCCTCTTCTAATTAGTTTTGAACATAGCCAATGTAGTCTTTCACTCGTTCAATAAACAGTCATTCAGGTGACAAATATTATTTAGAGGATACCACAAGGAAAAATTAAGACCTCTTTCATTAGATAGTATTGTAGTTGAATTATGTATCCCTAAAAGATGTTTAAATCTTAACTGCTATACATATGAATGTGATGTTACTTGGCAATAGATCCTTGCAGATGATGATTAGGCCATGGGAAAAGTCCCCAATCCAAAACAAATGGTACTCTTGTAAAAAAGGGGGAAATTGAACATATGTAGATAGATATGTGTAAAGGGAAGACAATATAAAGGCATGAGAAGAAGATAATGTCCACACTTCAAAGAATACCATAAAAGATTAACATAAAAAAATTACCATAAAAAAATGTTCCCAGAACAGATTCTTCCCCACAACCCTGCTGAATCTTGATCTGGGAGTTCCATCCTTCAAAACCGTGAGATAATGATTCACTACTATTCAAGCCAACCAATTTGTACTACTAAATCAAAACAGTAACAAGCTGAGGAAACTCATACAGATTGATTCACAAAAGAACAAGCTCAACAACAAAACTGTCCTGGCCAACAGAATTCCTGGCGTAGGTCTATCTTTAGTTGTTAATGGAGACAGATTCAGCCACAAGACCACAAACCACCCTATAGACCATCAGGGGAAAAAACACACTCACACACACACATACTGTTTCTGTCCTAAGGAATAGGCTGACCCATTGGGGACTGCTTAATCCTCTGAAAAGATGATTAGAAAGAAACAGGAGCAGTGAAAGTTAATGGAAAATTAATCTTGGTGACCTATTTGGGCCAATCAAAATTGTGAGACATGCGTTTAATGAAAAAGAAAATGCAAAGGAAATTTAGAAAGACAACTTCAAATTTAGAAGGACAACTTCAAAGGGATAAGAGAGGTAATGCTTTAATTAAACTTCTTCAGCATTCACATATTTACATAAATGTGGGAAAGACAGACTTCTACTAAGGTATTAAACATAAAAATGGCAATAGTTCTACACTGACTCTGGAGAAGTTGGCACGAGATTTCAAGGGATCAGTCTTGTTTCTTTGCTGGTTGTTGTAGAGTCCTTGTAGTAAGTACTTTGTAGCTACTGCACAAAGCATGTTAGTTAACTGAAAGGTCCTACCCTAGGTTCTCTGAAGCTCAGGTAAAACTGAGCAAGACACTCTTACAAGAATGACCTCAATGGTCGAATGATGCTAAATCATTTCCCACAGTCCTTCTTGTCATTTGTCACCACACACACACACACACACACACACACACACACACACACACACACACACACACACACACACACCATTTTACCTGAGCACGGTGAGCAATCCCTTCCACTTGTTATAAATAGGCTATCATGGCGGCTAGAAAGGACCTGTAAAACAAAGGCCATCTTGTTAGAAGAAATTTCAAACATCGTTTCAGAAAGCTGATTGAGTGCATGTAAGCAGATGCAAGGTTTTGCTTGCAGAGTTCCAGCTGAACATTGCCCTTTCTATTCCCAGCCATCCCAGTCAAATGCCCTTGCCGAAGGGCTGTGCGTGGTGCTAACCTGGGAACAATCAATGAATGTGAAGGTCTCATCATAAACACAGCCTTTGAACTGTCAATCTTCCATGGACCATTTCTGCTTTAAAAATACTCCTTGTGACTAAGGTAGCTACACTATGCAGATTGCTAGGGCCAGAGCCTCCCTCACCTAAGAAAGTCTAAAAGAAATAAAACACCAAGTTGCCAGGTCTTCCAAAAGCAGTTTGAGGGAGCTAACCAGAATTGAGCATAATGTTTCTAAATGGAAAAATTCTTATGATTTCTCAAGTGGAAATGTGTTAGTTATTTGTAAAGTTTTTTTTTCTTCTTCTTAGAAAAACTTCTGGTCTACAAATTGTAAAATGTACCTAAGTATTTTCTTTTTTTTCTACATGTTTTTATGGAATACTTCCCAACTTAATTTTGAAACCCTTGTTACTCAGTGTGGTCCGTGTATAGCACTATCAGCCCCTTTGGAAAAGTATTGGATTATGATTTCATAGAATATTTTCAGCTGTTCTGAATATGTATATGCAGGACATGTATATATGTACATGGCTTTGGGAAGTTGTTTTTCCCCTTGTATTAGCATTCTCCTATCTGCAGGCTTGAGCTGCCTGGTCTGAGAAGCCCCCTGGGACCTACTTCACTAGAATCGACATTTTAACAAGGTCTTTGGATGGTTCCTGTGCACACTGAAGTCTGAGACATCTGGTTTTAAACTGCATTGTGTTATCAGACCCATGGTTATTAGGATCACAATTAACAGATTGCCCAAAACTTTAAAACCGGCCTCTGGTGTCTAGCAGTTAACAGAATCACAAGTTGTTTACTACAGCTGTGTGAATCTGAGGACAAATCTATTAAACTCTCCTGAAACCTGTTACTACCCACTAAATCCTTTTTTTCTTTTTTTTTCTAGAACACATTGGGTGATTATGAGCTGGTATCTAAAAGCCTAGCCAAATTCTAGAAGAATGTGTTTTATACTCAAAAGACCAACATTATAGACATGGATGACAGATTTTTCATTCCATAAACAGGTGCTCAATTCTAATCAATATTGGGCAAAGAGCACAAAGTGGAAAACAGAAAGTATAGCATAGTCTCTTAAATAAGGAAATGTCAGAACAGGAAATTCAGACAGAGAGGGGGACTGGTTCCCCACTTGAAAAACCCCTGGCCCAGATCTAGCATGTGGAGAAGACTTTTATGAACTGAGTCCTGAAAAGATCTCTCCAGACACAGTCCACCAGCAGGTACAGAGTGTATAGTGTTGAGGCAGGAGATGTAATGAGAGCAGCAGTGAAAGAGCAACACCTTTACATCAAAAGAATATTGGATCATGATTTCATAGAATGTTTTCAGCTGTTCTGAATATTTGTATGCATGAGCTATAGACATGGCAGCCCTTAGGAATGCTGTTTTCTCCCCCTTTTAACTCTCCTACCTGGAGACAAGGAGGAAAGGCAAACATCAAATGCAAGAAGCACTGACTCAGAAGTCTGATGCTCGAAGCCAGGGGGCAGGGATAACAGAACCATGCCTCCACATTTGCTATTTGATCACACCGAATGTCAATGAAACGGCAACCATCAATGCAGGAACCATAAAGAGAATCACATTAAAGTTAATACAAAAGTCAGGAAAATGTCTTCGGCAAGGGACACTGGCTATTTGGTAGATGTACTGCTGGGAGCAATTGAAGGCTCGCAGTGTAACCAAAGTGTGGACTTCCTTATCCCTATTTAAATGTTTTTTATCCTGTTCTCTTTCCCCCTTGTTGCTTGCATGATTTTGCAGGCTCCTTTACTACCCTCCAAGTCCCCTCCTCCTCTCTTTTCTTTCTCTCCTTCATTCTGCTGGCTTTGTCAGTCTCTTTCTGTGAGGGGGGAAAAAAGAAGGACCAAAAACTTCCCTGCCCATCTGCTGCATTCCTTTGTCCCTTTTCTTTACTATCCTCAAATGTTTCTTCCCTTCTATGCTCACCTGCCTTTTCTAGCATCAGATCTCTATTCTTAGCATGAAGCCAGTCGTGCCAACCACTGGGCTTAGAAATTGCCAGACTCTTCTACCATACCATTGTAATACTTGGGCTTCTCAAATCCTCCTAACCTATGATAGGTCAACAACTGGGCAAATTGGGCAGGAGTGGGAAGGGAGGCCTTAAAAAAATAGTACCCTTGTATTTTCTTCACATTTTTTTAAAATGTAGAGTAAATCTGGAGTATTCTGCTGCTATGCTGAAAGAGAATAGAGATGTAAAATATACTAGACAAAGGTTCCCATTCTCTCCCTACTTTTTCCTGAGCACATTCCCTCCAACCCACTATGAAACTTTTGTTAGTCTTATCCCTCTTTGTGCAGACCCTCAAGCCCTCCTGGAATGACTGAAAGAGGCTTTCTTACCAGTACAGACCAGGTGAATGACACAGGCAGGAGTTAACAGAGGGCTTCTTGACAAAGACACAAAGCAGAACACAAAAAGCCTCATTTAATGTCACCTTAGGAAGCCTTACAAGTTACAGCTTAATAAATATATGAAGATTATTGTAATATAGAAAAATGTCTGGTAGCACTTCCCACATCACACACACATAAGGAGAACTCTTATAGAGTCGGCTGTGATATGACAATCTAACACACACTTTAAATTGTAGAAAAGAGATTTGGCTTTCTTTTGGTAATTCAGACTTTTATATCCAATCTGGGAGCTATCAGGAAAATTTTGTAGACAAATCTGGTTTGCCCACTTTTTTCCCTCTTTTTTTCATGATACTCTATTTTGTTTACCATCTTTATAAACGTTTAATTTTTATTAAGTAGCTGTACAAAGGGGTTTCAATTCCAGAAATCAGTGAGTACAATGCAGCTTGATTAGTCATCCCTTTTATCATTCTCCTCTATTTTTATTTAATTTAATTAATTAATTTATTTTTTTTTTTGTCAGTTATGGGGCTTGAACTCTGCGCTTGGGTGCCGCCGTCCCTTGAGCTCTTCAGCTCAAGGCGAGCGCTCTATCACTGAGCCATAGCGCCACTTCTAGTTTTCTAGTGGTTTATTGGAGATATGAGTCTCACGGACTTTCCTGCCTGGGCTAGCTTTGAGCCATGATCCTCAGATCTCAGCCTCCTGAGTAGCTACAGGCGTGAGCGACCGGTGCCTGGCTCCCCTACATTTTTAAATCCTAGTTTCTACAACAGTCCATGCCACTGGTATATAGTACATGTTTACTAAATATTCAATGAATATTGAATTATTCAATGTATGTATTAAGTCAACAGACTTTTTATTTCACACTGACATGTTTCAAAAATTTCTCTTAGATTGTTATTATCACCTAATAGGACTAACCTAGGTTCCTGCCTCTAGAACTAGAGTTTCTTTGGGCAGTACACTAAGCAGTCTATGTGGCAACTAACATTCTAATAGCAAATAAGAAAATAAGGGGAGAAAAATCTAAGAGGTAGACAAAAATTTTCAAAAATATAGCATTCTATTATAAATTAGTCAAATCCCTTTGTTCCTCAGACACTTTCTTTGTATAGGCCCTACTACTACTGAAGGTCATATCACAAGTCACTTCTCCAAAGAACTCTGAGCCATACTATGAAGTCCAGCAATACTTCTAGTCCAGCAGGATTTCTTAGTCAAGACATAAAATTCTCTAGCATGGACTCACTCCACAGCCTGGACAAAGGGTCACAAACCTTAGAGGCAGAGAAGAGACGGAATGAGTTGAGCTAAATGGTAGAAGCCTAAGAAGCTTCATTTTTCTAGATTCATGTCTGAGATAAGATTGGAAGCTTCCCAAAACAGTGGCTGTGAGTCATTCCCTGTCAATCTATCAAGAGGTTAGTGGAAGGCCGGAGCAGAAACGTGAATCTTTTAATGATTATGAATATCCATTTTATTGGTCAACAAACAGTGTTGGATTCAGTGACCTTACGTTCAAAACTATGAGACATGCTCTGTAAGGTTATCATCGTTCACATCCCTGGATGGAAGGTGTCAGCTCTGTGGGAAAGAATACTTCAGAAGTCATCTGCTCTGACCCTATAGGAGAGACTCCTGTACTAACCAGCAGCACCACTGGCCTCACATGGGAACCAAGTTATAATGCCTACGTTCATCTCCAGCAAGGAGTTGACCCATTAAAGAAAAATACTTTAATAGTCCTAGAACATATGATCTGTAATGCCAATCTTATCTGAGTGCAAGTATCTAAAACACACCAATAAAAAGGAAAGGTAACTATCACTAATATTCAAGACATGCTATCCTCCAACCTGCACTTTGGCATTTGAGGAAACAACAGAGGCAGCCATGTCTCTTTCATCTTCCCTGTACTTCTCCATTCAACCAGGTCATGAGACTTAGGAAACATCTTCTGACCACCTTCTGAGGTATATAACATGAAACTCTCGTGTGAGAGGTACCCTCCAGATAGGTGAAAGAAAGGAGACAAAGACACAGAGATGGCAAGAAGAATCTGTATAGTAGGTCTTGGTCAGCTTCCCCCAGTTAATATACTATTCACTCATACCCTCTTAATTCACTCGTATTTTCCACATTATCCACTTCAACATCTACCATCAAAATAACACAAATTTGGAGGCTTTAACTCCCATTTCCTATCTGGGGAGCTGAAAATGTTTTTCTCTCTCTTGACTACTTCTTCCGTTTTATCTTGTTACAATAAAATAAATCTTTTCTTGTTAAAAATATACAAGTTTAACTATTTGGGGGGGTCTTTATTTCTTTATGAAAGCTCCCATTATATAAAACTTAAATTAGAATATTTTCTTCAATTGCTAACTAACAATGAACAACTGGGGTTTTTTG